GCAACGCCGCGGCAACTGATATAGAAAGGATACTATTTCTCAGATACTAAGTAACTCCTTTGCTTCTTTGTTCCTTTGTTTGTTGAACTGGCTCCCAGTGGAACCCCCGTTGGGTCCGCCATAAGGGCTGCTGTACAGCCTGTCATCAGGCTGCCATCTGCCAACTGCCATTGGCATTACCCCCGGTGTCCCTCCCTCCTAATTTAGGAACCCTTCTGTAAGAGTCTGGACGCAAGTGCCCTCGGCTAAGGGGGGGGGTCCGACCTATCACTCCATCACTAAGTTTTCCCACCTAGTAGCCCTATTCCACTAGAGTTTCATGCAATACCCTCGACAACCTGTTCAAAGTGCATTAATCTGATCATCTGGCTTCCTAGCTTACTAATGGTTTGCAGAATAAGCAATCATATCTGTGCATAACTGACAACAAGCCTATATAAAGCAGGTTAAGAGTCTTTAAAACACTAACTCAACCTAAAGTCAACAATAATAGTGGAACATTAGTATGATAGTAATAGGTACACTCTTAAAGTCTAGACACCAACCTAACCCTCATAATACCAATTTCATCAATACATCCACTTTTCGTTGTGTCTGTGTGTGCAGGCGCATTTTATAGACTTTAAGAAAGGCTTAAGTTAGCAGAATTGTGACTAGATGATTAGCTCACCAAAAATTTAATAAAAAACATTGGTTTAGGGATGTAGGTTGGTTGGATTTATAGATAAAGAGTTAATGAAAGTTGTTGTGAGTATTCAAAGACTTACTAGTTTTAATAAATGAATCATTGGACAGCCAGAGCGGACATTGGTGTAAAATAATTAGAATTAGTGCAGAGACTAAAGATAAAGTAAACTGCCATCCGCCTTGTAAGCAGTGTGTTGCGGAGGTCGCTGGTGGCGACTGGTTTCACAAAGGTGGTCGTGGCGGCGGGTGGTGGTGTATGGCCGTGTGTTTCTTTGAGGTAGCCGGATGGCTGGGGATTTGATAAAAATATTGAAGAATTTGCCTCAATGGCACCCCTGAATATATGTTAGAAATTGTAAGGCCCCGGATTGCGTGCTCCGCGATTCGGTGATAACTATTCCCAAGATAAAGATTTCTGAGCACTGATGCTTATCAACATACTGAACCCTGATATATGACCATATGCTCCACTATGACATCACCACTCTACGACTACTTACATAAATACTTGGCCCTTTTCTGTAGTAGTTAGTCTTTTCCGAGGTCAATCTACAGTACGTACACCAGTTCTCCTTTTTGTCCGACCTCGCCGGCCTTCCACCCTCGGTCTCCCGTGTGCCGGGACTCGCTTGGTAAGCGCCCCGTCACAGAAATTCAGTATCGATGGTAGTTTGAGAGGGATTGAATTGAGGAGCGTCGCCCAGCAAGTGGTTTCATTGAGTGTGCACGCAGCTGGGGAAGTGGAGCTTGGATGATTCACAAATGAGAAACAAACCTATGGCCGATATGGCCGATATATCTGCCACAGGGTGTCCCACTTTGACATTGCAGCAGTAGCAAAGGTCGATGGACCACTCGTGTTCCGCTGAGAAGAGCACAAGTTCATTCCCGAATAACATCAACTCGTCATCATCCATTTTGTGCCAAACATCACCGTCAATAAGAATAACTGAGCCGTTTCGCTGGTATGCACCCACCGGCATGATGTCTTGGGCAGCGGATATAGAACTGGATAGGTTGGCCCTCAGACGATGGCACTCGATGGCACCTCTGAATGTATGTTAGAAATTCAGTATTGACAGTTTAGAGGGGATTTACTTGAGGAGTGTCGCCTAGTGGCAGGCATTGTGCATCATAGTGCTCGCAAGATGAATGTTCAAAGATCCACAAGTGAGAACAAATATGAAGCCTGATATATCCTTCATGGCTCATCCCATTCTGACGTCTGAGCAGTGGCGAAGGTCGATGGACCAGTCATCTTCTTCCGAGAAAAAGAATAGCTTAGGCCTGATAGAATCGCCCTTACCACACAGAATTCTTCGTCATCTGTTTTGTATCAAAGATCGCTGCCCCTGGCGATGTTGGAGCCACTGCGCTGATATGTGCCGACCAGCTCAATGTCTTGGCGAGGGATGGATACCACCTTGACGTCTTGGCAAGGGGGTACAGACCAGTCTAGGAATCCTCCAATTGTAAATGGAATATTGTGTAAGTGTTATATACGTGCCAACTCTAGCATTCGATTCCGATATCCGATTCCGGTATTTGGTTTTTACGCAATGAAGATTTACTGAGCATTTCCAATTACCCCGAACTATGATCTATGCAATCATCTATGCCTTGTTCCTCGTATGCAACTCCTCTTCTACTTTACCTGACTTTGTTCTAATCCCGTTTTCGTCACTTCTCATACTATAAATACTTTGATGTATTATCACGTACTTCAGTTTGTAAATTAATGTTGCTGGTCTCTATTTCCCAGTGTCGTCTTGACACCGCTCTTCTCTCTTGTCTTGTCTTGGTCAACTGGACGCCCCGGTCACCTAAACATCCTTCTGTGGTGTTCTGCCCCCAAGTGCACTCCGACTTCGATTCCGTTTACAACTCCAACCAGCCGGAAATTTCTAGCACCAGGGGCAAAGCTTGTGGCAGTTGGGAAAGGGCAGTCTAATGGCAGTTGAGCTGGAGATTTTTTTTGCTTTGTTCAAAACAAAGAAACCTTTGTTTCTTTCCAACTGCCATTTGCCCTTCTATTTCCAAACTGCTGCAAGCTTTGCCCCCAGTGTGGCAACTGGAAACTTCGATGATACTGGTCTCTTAAACTCTGACGATCAAATCTGGGTACTACCTCTCTCTGGTACATCTCCCTTATGACCATATCCTTTTGGGTCACTTTGGCCAAAATTTGACTCTTGCTCTTGTCCGACGTGAATACATAGGTATGTGGTAAAAATCAACAGTGTGAGAACAGAGAACAGAGAGGCAAGCAACTGAGAGGGATAAACAGGATGATGATGATTTGAAACTACTAAAAACAGAGGCTTATATAGACCAAAGAACTAGGAGCTAGGAGCTCATATTAAGGAACAAGTTCAGGGAAAAGCATAAAGGAGCAGGAGCAGACAAGGGAAATGAAAAACTAAGAGAAACTAAGGTGGCTACCGGATATGGCTGCTGACTAAGTGGAGCGGTCACATGACAGGCGTGACGAGCAAGGCTTGTCAACATTTAAATGCCCATTGTATTCGTGAACTTGGGCAAACATCAATTAAATACAAATAAATAGTTTAAATGGTTTCCACTCCAAACACACTCAAATTAATATCAATAGTGTGGTTCAAGTATTGCTGAATCTTAAAAACATTTAAACTCATTTTAGAACCAACATTTCATCACTATGAAGCTTATATTATATCTTCTTATCACTGAGCTGCATTTCATCTTTCATAATTTGGTAATATAATTAATAGAAAGTATACTTTTGATATCTATTTTGCATTGAAAGGGACTATTGCGGCTTAAATGAACATGTTTCTCACTAGTAGATGCATATAGGTCATAAAAAGTGACACAATATATAGCTGAACGGACAGGTCAATTTTGCTTGATGGGAAAAACTAGTTATAAATGGTTTTAAACATCTATTACTGTTTATATTTGTGTTTCTATTTTATTTGAAATTTCTACAAACAGAAATTTATATAAGCACACACACATATAAGTGTAAAAATTAAAAGTTTTGTATTTGTTAGGATATTTTCCATTGGGAATGGCACGGGTATACAGTACGCCCGGGCACATCTTGATTGCCGGACTGGTGGCAGCTCCCCCTCCGAAAAACTTTTACAGCTACATTTTTTGTTGTATTTGGGAACCTAAGAAATAGCATGGAATCAATTACTAGATGGTGTAGGCACCCACTGATTCAATAGCTAAGTAATCGGGCAATGTTCAAGTGTTTCATGCCGCAAAAAAACGAAACAAGCGTGGGAAAGTGCCTCGGCAAAGGCCGGCATTGCTCAGAATCGACCGCAGAGTCCAGCCGTGTGCTCAAAATGACTCAAAACAGTCGATTTAGCTAGAAATAATGATTCTACGTGCGATTAATAATATTTATATCTGTCAAAATGCTCCGAGGGATCCGCCGATGAGAAGAATACTTCTTCACTGCATATGCCGCCTGTCGAGGATTCAAGCCATATCGATACGCGTCTCGATAGCGATTGCAGTGTCGGAAATAGCGCCGGATGCTATCAATTGAGAGTTCATTGAGACTTTCGGGCACCAGTCTCTTGGCAGTTGGGAAAGTACCATCCGAAAGCTCACGAAAACCTGTTGGCCATTAAAATGGTGTTGAAAGCAAAAAATGAAAGATGAGACTCAGACTCACGACGTTTCATATCACCCCAAACCATCTCAATGGGATTCAACTCACAGTGGAATTTGGGAAGAAAAAGGCACATATGGCCGCGCTTCTCGACCAGCAGTTGCAGCAGCGGTTTTTCTGCCTTGAAGTCGGGCTGTGCCGAAAGAAACCGCTGCATGCAGCAGGTTATATCACGTTCTTCATCGTCTCATCATACTCCTCCTCTGCTCCAGCCCCCTCTTCTCCACCCTCGCGACGAGCCTTAGCTTCCGCATCCCGTGCCTTCTGTGACCGAGTACAATCTGTACACACCCCAACAACTCGTCCACCCCGGGCAGTCGCTGCTGCCTCCAGCTTCCCAAGCAAACCACGCTCCTTCAAAATTAACTCCATCCCTTTCGGCTGGCCCAAGAATGATTGGATTGGCTGGCCTTTGAGATCGACGGGGGAGAACATCACCCTCTTGGAAAACCATGCTCTGTTGTCGATTGGTACCAGGGATTGTGGTTGAATGCATGCAAGGAACCTTTCCGCCTGGGCCACGGTTCATGTTTTGCGCCAGAAGAGCATCACTTGCAAACGCCTCATGTGCCGACGAACAGTCAAAGATAAAAACGGCTTGACCGTTGGGATATTTGGCCTCGAAGATATCAATGGCGTCTTTTGTCTAGAAACGGTAAGGATAGTGTTGAGAGGACTCAAGAAGACTTGCCTGAGCGATAAGTTGGGGCATGTCCCACCAGGGATCATGGTTTGCACCAGGATGAATGATGCGGTTTGCCTCGTAAGTGTCGCATCGATACCTTTTGAATGGTGCGGGTGGAGGTGGGGGTGTCCAATCGACACCAACAGTTGTTCGGTCAGTTGCTGGTGTTTCTTTAGTCGCTGTCTTCTTCGTCTTCTTGCTCACTCCCCCGCCAGTTCCCTTCTTCCGACCCTTGCCCTTGCCACTAGCAGCACGTTGTTCCTCCAGCAGACGCTGCTTCTCGGCCTCAGCTGCCGCTGCTGCTGCAACCACCGCCGCACGAGCTTCTGCTGCCGCTATTTCAGCAGGACTAAGAGGTCGTTTTGGTAACTTTTCCTCCTCCGCAATCTCTTCCGGTGTCAGCCGAAGCCAGCCACAGTGCTCGATAACAAAGCCAGACACATGTACAATACGTCCCCTACTTTTGCTGCGAATTTCGTGTTCGTCCTCGGTCTCCCAAACGAAGTGCGCCTGGTCGTTTGCGTGAGTGGATGTTTCGTCCTGATAGATTGGATATCGAATCTTGTGGCCTTCGGGAATTGTTGGCGCAATCTCTTTCAGGTATTTTTTCCCTGTTTCCTCGTCGACCACAGTCTCATATTGATATGTGTAGCTGTCGAGCACAATAAAAAAGAGTGATTCGATGAAGGAGAGACTCGACTCACGGGGTCACATGCTCTTGCATGAAGTCGATGAACTCCTTGCGCTTTTTGACGACATCGGGACGCTCATGGCCATCGTAATAGATACCCTTTGCATAGCGACGCATTCGATAGCCCAGTTTCTTAAGCCACAGAGTTGCGGTCGTGATCCCAATCGTGTCTTCGATCCCCAGCTCGTTGAATAAAAACTGATTCACATAACGGCGCATCTTCTCGGGACGAATCTGGAATGAAATGAGCTCTGCTGTGCAAATGGGACATTATACTCACACGACCAACAAATCCACCCTCTTCCACTGGTATATCCCCCTTCAAAAACACGCGTAGACGCGACTTGACCTCTGGATTGTCGATGTGGGATTTGTGTGCCCCGCCCTGCCCATGCTTGTTATCCGGTAACTCGCCAGTCTTTTCCAGCATGATTGCTGCTGAGCGAAGCTTGGTGGCGAAGTAGTTGGATTTGGAGAAACGTGCCGCGATGCACTTGCTTGCTGCGAGAGCGGGCTTTTGCTTGGCAATCTTTTGTCGTAGCTTTGGTCGCTGTGGTCCTGGGACAAGACGAAGACGGTCGACATCAGCAAGGCGTTGAAGAGAACGCTTGCGACGCTCATCGTTGAAGGCCTTCAAACCGCTGACCATGACCAGGCGGTCAGCCATTTTGGCATTGGAACCGCTGGCTGCTATCTGTTTGGCGGTGCAAAACTTCTTCTCGTACACCTTTAGGGCTTTGGCAAGGCGTTGGTGCTCGTGTTCAATGCTAGCCTGAGTGGCCATGGTCTTCTCTCGCTCGTTGTCGCTTTGCGTCGTCGAGTAACCATCATCGTCATCATCAACACTCTGGCCCATCTCCTCAACCTCTGTGCTTTCCGGCCCACGTCCGCTCTCCAGCTCAGTCTGAATCTCAACAGCATCCACGTCCATTATCTCGTGAACGTCTTCTACCCGGACCTCTTCAACCTGGACCTCTTCCATCTGAGCCTCTTCCACCGTGATCTCTTTCATCTGAGGTTGAGCAACCAGTTTTATCGAGAGATGGTCGGGTATGCCAGTGTTGCCCTTGTTAGTAGATTTCGGATTAGTTGCCTGAATCTGATGTCTTTAGAGCATGAAACGGCGGGCGAACAAGTCGTACGCACCTTGAAAATGGTGGCTACCGATGCCTGCCCGTTCTTAGCCCTCGACTTCTTCGTGAGCCCTTTCTTCTCTTGCCACACCGCGCTTCGGGACTCTCCCTTAATTGCTGACGCGCCAGGCTGTACCAAGTCTCCATTTTCGCGTCGTCGCTTGCGAGCCTCGAGCTGTTGGCCCGGTCAGCACACCGCGTCTCTGAGAACTGTTAAGTAGCCATATGTACCTGCCCATCCGTCAGAAATCGACGCTTCTTCGATGGCTTGGTCTGTTCGCTGTCGTCTTCCTCATCGGTCGAGGGTGGCAGGTAGGAAGTGTCTTTGCTCTCAGCACGTGTCGCTACAGCATTTTGCTTGGTTTGGACGCCTGTGAGTGCGGCGCGGCGTTTCTTCGAGAGGGCGGGCATGGGAGAGCGCTCAAGCGTGTCCGTCAGCTGATTGATACCTATCTGGTCCGCCGATCCGAGCCCAAAAAGTGAAACACCGTGGGAAAACTTTCGCTGAAGGCATAAATCGTCGTATTTTGGGGTGCTGAGATCGACTAAAATAGTAGAAAAAATTACAAAAAATTTCCCGGCCCTACCGGCCGGGGTAAGAGATGTGCCCGGGCGTACTGTACCCACGGGTATCCGAGGGCCTACCCGCACCCGTACCCGCACAGCCACAGTACTCATACCCGCGGGTACGGGTATGGGTTTACCCATGGTTTGGGCAGGGAGGGAGGAAGAGACAGCTTGGTTATTGTCCGGAAGGTGGGATAAAAATGCTGTGCAAGAGCAGAGTCGAACGCAGAGCATCTTGGATACCACAAGGGAGCAAGGCCAGCTGAGTCATCAAGCCACGGGTAAGCCAGCCGCTGACCCGTACCCGTACCCGCACGGGTAAAACCCGTGTACCCGCGCGGGTATAGCCTACCCGTGCCATTGCCTAAGATTCGGGGATCCACCAGGTCAGCAAGGAGTTCAGTTAAAACACGGCGGACGTACGTTGCGCCATGGCACATTACGCAGCGAGATTTCCCAATCAAGTGTGTGCAGATGTGGGAAGTGGGACAGGATTTCTACCCAGCCAGAATGGTCCCCACCTCGCAGCTCGAGGTAGAACGTGGTGATCATGCTGGGATGGGGAGGGCCCGCAACCGCGACAGCAGGCTGTCACCAGAGACATCATAGAGGTGCAGTGTCTCAATGCTCGGGACTGCGCGGAGGATGTCCGCGAAGGTAAGGCTATCAGTCTCTAGCTCGCGGAGTTGCACAGGCAGGACATCTGCACTAAGGAATGCCGGCAGCTCAATTTCCGAGTAGTCTGCAAAGTATTCGTCCTTGACACAAACACATAACTTGTGGATTCCGGGAAAGACCTGCTGCAGGGTGGCCCAGCCGCTGGGCTTCAACCTGGACAACTCCGGGACATGTATGCTGAGGGTATGCACGTGCGGAAGCACTGTGAGGAGCTTGTCTTCCGATGTTTCGAGCCCATCAATGGTATAACTTGTTGCCTTCCAATGTACTTCTTGAAGCACCGATGGATCACAGACATTTAGGGCCAGCCAAAAATCGGTCTCTTGGACTAGATCCTCGAGATGTAAAGTGGAAACGGGACTCGGAATGCGGAGGTTCAGTGACCGCAGACCATCAATCCATGTGTGCCAGTGCCCAACGCCGGAGTAGAATGAGAACAAAGAAAGCTCAAGCTCCAGAGGGCCACTCAGGCTGGAAATGCGGTAAAGTGAGGGCAGGGAGAACATAAGTCCATGGGCGACGAATTGGCGGAGATTGATGAATTTGCCGATAGCAGCGAACAGCAAATCGCAGAGCTCATGGACGTTGGTCCCCGGCTCATCGGCAAATTCGCTCGACGCTATAGTTAAAGTCATCTGGGAGATATCTCTCCCCTGCGGTGATCTGCAGCGCTTGGACGTGCGGTGCGACAGCGGGGGACAGGAAGAAGCCCAGTCGAGCGACGAAGTCTGCGATGTGCTCTGCGGTGGGGAGCACCAGGGGGAATGCTCTGTCGCGTTCTTCATCCACCAGATTGCTAAAGTCCTGAGCGTATGGCCACATGCGCAGCACGCTGAAGAGAAACGGGCGGACGAGTAGCCGCAGCCTCCGCGACGCCAGCGCAACATTCTTTTGTTCGCTGCGCGGGAGTTTCTTGAGTATTTCGTTGAAGAGCTCGCTCGGGAGCATGATGCTGGCGAATGGGAGTTGACGGGTACGGTAGGCGAGACGGTTGAGGTTGGATTTCACATTTGACAGACAGAATTTCGTGATTTGATGGTGGGAAGTTATCTATTTTCCCTTAAATTTTGGTGGATTTCAGCCCTTCTTGAGGCCTAGAGAGCAGATCTATGGCAGTATGACATGTAGTGTAGTCACCTGTGCTGCTGTGGCCTCAAAATCAGCTTATCGGAGAGTCGGGATTCCATCGGCCATCTCGGAGATCGAAAGCTCCTCGGACTTGGCCACTGACTTCGATGTTTGCAGCGGCCGAGCGTCGGCTATTTGATCGAAATGATCTACGAGGGCCAGATCATGCCGGATACATCAAGCCTTCCAATGCCGACCATCTACCGGCTCCAGAGTGCAGACGAGCTCCTCTTGAATATTTCAGAATCCTGTGCATAGAGACAGTCTCTGGGCCTCTCAAGCAATCCCCCCTCTGCCAGAGCCAATAGAGCCTGCAAATCATTCTTACTGTGTATTGCCACTTTTGGCATCAATAAAATTGACGAGTCTCGGTTTATCCACTGATTTATGGTCAATGTAGCTACATAGAGTGTATAAAAGGTCTATCATGTTGTATTTTACCCACTACATGGTCCAAAAGCTCAAAAACCACTCAAAAGGTGGTTGCTTACCTGTATCAATCAGTCAAGTGTCAACTGTCAGATGCGAAATTGAAGCTCAACCGTCTCGCCTACCGTAGACGGGGGCAAGTGGAAGGAGAGAGCAGGATGGGACGTGCCACGTAGTCATTGCGGAGCTAATCACCGCCCGAGGCTGTTCGGCCGCCTCAGGAATCACTCAATCGGAGCAATCACGTCTCCGACGAGATTTTGACCAGATTAGGCCCGCAATCACCCCGGCACAAATTTGCAGAGAGCGACCTTTTTCTATGCGAGCTCTGAAATTTGCACGATTTCGGGTCAAAGTTTTTTTTTTTTTGGCTTCTTCCCCCTCAACCTCATCGGAATATCCCAGTTAGTTGTCTCCATTCGACCCTCCAAGATTGCGCCTGGAGGGAAATGCTCTCCAAACCAGGGCACCGCTCAAGCAGCCTAGTTCGGAGTTCCGACGCCTCCGGCAGCGACGCTTGATTGTCCTCAGGAAATGCCATCTCCTCCTCCTCAGGCTCTGACCCATACAAGCACGGCTGCGAATACGAGACCGTGAGCCGTTTCAGACTAGGGGGCAGTATGGCGGGGAGTTCGGAAAGGAATACGGGTACCTAGTATCGATTAGCCAAGGAGTCGGCGAGCAGTTAAAACAGTGCAGACTTACCTCCTGCCAGCGTGCACCTTGCAGCGACACGGTCCATTCAAGCGTCTGTAGATGGGGGAAGTGAGCCAGGATCCCCGCCCAGGTTGGATGGTCTCCATCGCACAACTCGAGCGCGAGTGTGGTGATTGTACCATGTGCCGACATATTTTTCAGCCGAGATAGCACGCCGTCGGGCGGCAAGTACCGGCGTTCGAGGCGCAATGTGTCGATGGTCGGCGCTGCGCAAAGGATGTCCGCGGAACTGAGAGAGTTTGTGTCCAGCTCGCGCAGGTACGCAAGTGCGGTCTGTGTTGCAAGGAATTCAAGTTCCAGCGGCTCATCTTCGTTGTGGTAGTATTCTTCCAAGGATCGTATACCGAGCACCTGAAGTCCGGGAAGGGTTTGCTGAAGGTTAGACCAGCCAGTGCGGCTCAGAACGGTCATCGAGGGAACTTGGAGCTCGAGAGAGTGCACGTGCGGAAGCACGGTGCTGTACATGTGTACCAAGGCGTCGAGCCCGGTAATGGGGGTATTTACCCTCCAGTGTACCTTTTGAAGCACTTCCGGGTCACAGACGTAAAGAGTGAGCCACAGATGGGCCTCCTCCTCCAAATCCCCGATGTGCAGAGCAGAGACGGGGATGTGGAGGTCCAGTGCGCGCACGCTGTCCACCCACGCATCCCCAAGGGCGGAGTAGAATGAGAATGCAGAAAGCTTGAGCTCCAGCGGGCCACGTAAGCGGGCCAGGCGCGCAAGCGCAGGCACGGTGAACATAATTCCATGCGCGACGAATTTGCGCAGGTTGACAAATCTGTCGACGGCGGAGAACAGCAGGTCGCAGAGCTCGTGGACGTTGGTCCCCGGGTCCTCATCAAACTCGACGCAGTTTGACGTCTGCTCCCCGGCGATGATGTGCAGCACGCGGACGTGTGGGGCGATGGCAGGCGACAGGAAGAAGCCCAGTTTGGCGACGAAGGCCGCGATACGGTCGGCGGAGGGGAGCACCAGCGGGTGACACACATCGTCGTCCGGGTCGTCCATGTGGTTGCTGATGTCCTCATCGTACGCGTACGGCTCCATGCAGAGCTTGCTGAAGAGAAAGGGACGGGCCAGCAGCCAGAGGTGACGCGAGGCGAGCACAATGTTCTTTAGTTCGCTTGGCGAGAGTTCTTCGAGGATTTCATTCAACAGCTCGTTGGGAAGCATGAGGCGGGGAGAAGGGCGAGCTTGCAGCCACGAGTGCAGAAAGGAAGATGAGAGGTGCCACGTAAGGAGGGTCGGCTACGCATGTCACTGATGCTGGTCACATTACTTAGTCGTACGTCATCACGTAACCCGTCGGCGGGTTTACCGTTTGCGGCGGGTGCCGATGTCCGGTTCCGGCGCGACACGACACGGCTGGCAGCGCGGCCTCTGCAGGCTGCCAGTGTCATTATTTCCGGCGGCTTTCCACAGCCAGCCGCGCGAGCGTGCAGTCGCCCCCGGCTACGGTTCGTCCGCGCGCGTCACGCGGGACTGCCGATGGTCGACGCCCGTCGCCCGGTGCGGACAATTAGCCTGAGTCACACTTCACTGGGTCACTGTTCACACGAGAAAGGTAGATCTAGACAAGCTACCTATCAGAAGGACTACTCGTCGCAAGATCTCACTTAGTATTTCCTCCATTCGACCTCCCAGAACCGCGCCCGGAGGGAAATCCTGTCCAACCCAGGGCACCGCTCCAGCAGCCGCGCCTGCAGCTCCGACGACTCAGGCAGCGGTGCCCGAAACTCCTCAGGAAACGCCATGGCCTGCTCAAGCCCATACAAGCGCGCCTGCGGATATGCGACCGTGAGCAGTTTGAGACGCGGGGGGGAGTATGGCTGGAAGTTCGGCGAGGAATGTGTGTACCTAGGACAGGAAATCCGCCGGGTTAGCGGGCAGTTCAGGGAAAGCAGTGCAGACGTACGTCGCGCCAGCGCGTATCCCGCAGCGTGACGTTCCAATCCAGCGTGTGCAGATGGGGGAAGTAGGACAGGATCTGAACCCAGGTTGGATGGCCGCCATCGCACAAGTCGAGGGCGAGCGTAGTGATCGCACCGGAGATGGAGACGGCTTGGAGCCGCGCCAACAGGCTGTCGGCAGAAAGATCCTCCAGGTGCACTTTCTCGATGGTCGGCACGGCGCTGAGGATCTGCGCGAACGCGAGGCTGTTCGTATGCAACTCGCGGAGATGAGGGGAGCACCGGCGCTGAGGCTAGGAACGCCGGCGAATTTATCTCGTTTTCCAAGTTGTGTTGGAAGATTTCAACTCCGGCGCGCAGGCTCAGCTTCTGGACTGCTGGAAAGGACCGCTGCAGCGCGGCCCAGCCGGCGCCGTTCAGCCAAGATAGCGCTAGGAGATGTAGGCTGAGACCACGCACGTGCGGAAGCACGGTGATGTACTTGTCTGCTGAGGCGTCGAGTCCGTGAATGACAGAAGTTGCCTTCCAATGCACTTCTTGAAGCACTGCTGGGTCACAGACATTCAGGGCCAGCCAGAAGTCGGTCTCCTCCACCAGATCATCGATGTGTAAAGTGGAAACGGGAATGCGCAGGTTCAGGGACCGCACTCCATCGATCCATGTGTGCCCAAGGCCAGAGAAGAATGCGAACGCAGAGAGCTCGAGCCCCAGCGGGCCACATAGACTGGTGAGGCGGTAAAGCGTGGGAAGGGAGAGCATAAGACCACGGGCGACGAATCGGCGCAGATTGACGAATGTACCGATGGCGGCGAACAGCAAATCACAGAGCTCATGGACGTTGGCCCCCGGCTCTTCAATGAAGTCCCTATAGCCAAAGGAGCCTTCGGGGGCTCTGTCCCCGGCGGTGATGTGCAGCGCGCGGACGTGCGGCGCGATGGCGGGGGACAGGAAGAAGCCTAGTCGAGCGACGAAGGCTGCCATGCGCTCTGCTGTAGGGAGCGCCAGTGGGAAGCCTCTGTCGCGCCGTTCTTCACCGCTGACGTCCTGGTCGTAGGGCTCCATGCGGACCTCGCTGAAGAGGAACGGGCGGACGAGCAGCTGCAGCCGACGCGACGCGAGCGCAACGTTCTTTTGTTCGCTCCGCGGGAGTTCCTTGATGATTTCGTTGAAGAGCTCGCTCGGGAGCATGGCGCTGGCAAATAGGCGCTGACGGGGGTAAGTGGACGGAGAGAGCAAGATGGGACGTGCCACGTGTTGATTGCACAGCCAATCACGGCACAACGCCGTTCGGCCGAATTACCCGGTCGGATCGGCGGACGAGCCATCACGTACCATGATGACTCAGCTTTTTCTCCTTTCCCTCGTCTTCCATCCATCTACCCTTGCCGACATGCTGGCTGGACGGCCTAGCGCACCGCATCTCACGGACAAACTCTTGTATACCTTGCGTCACGAAGAGAACGGCAACGTTAACGACCACCTAGTCTATCATGATGTGTCATTGGCGAGAACAAGAGCACTCCGGCCAGGCCGTCTCGGGCGATCGGACGCGTGTCTCGGGCCATGACCCATTGTGCGGTGGAGCACCGCAATTGTGCGCGATGGCGCTTGTGCTGACTCGCCAGCCACTCAGAGTGTACAAAAAGACGCCGCCAGATTGGTCTGTTCTGTAGAATTCACTCTTCCTTCACCCTCCACTCCCTCTCGTATGGCCCGTGCCCCTCATCGTGCGTCTCCCCCTTTTGCTCGTCGATCCTCGGGTATATTGACCGTTCCCATAGGACGCCCGCTCCCGATTCGTACCGGCACGCTCGACCTCCGGCCGGCACCCACGCGACGCAGCAGCGTCAGCGCTGAGTCAGAGTACGCCACGTACACGCTCAACCTCGGCGTGGAGTCGCCTTCGCTGCTCTCCCCCGGTCTAGCCAGCCCCATTGCACCAAAGCCGAAGAAACCCGCCCGCCGGCCACGTCCGAGTCGGCCGAAGCGCAGACAGCCCAGCGGGGACTGCGGGATCTGGTGCGCCGCATATCCATTTCTCCTAACAGCTAGTTGCTGACTATTGTCTACAGTTTCGAACTCGCCGTTAATCCGCGGACGACGCCCTCCGGGTGCTGCCAGCAGCTCTTCTGCGCGGAGCATCTCGAAGCATGGCTGGACGGCCCGGGCGCCGACGGGTGCTGTCCTGCGTGCCGCACGCCGCGCGCCAGTCGCGCTCCCAGTCCCAGTCCCAGCCCCAGTCTCGCCCCCGATCGTACGGATGCGAACAGTTCTCTATCGCAGGAGGCCAGCTTCTGGCGCAACTATGCGGTGTTGCGCGCACTCTGCTGCGTTCTGGTCTTGGCTGCGCTGGCAGGAAGCGGTCGGTGGGCAGTCTGAGTGATCGCTTTCTTCGTGTTTCAAGTTGTTTTTGTCACGGACATATTATATATTCGCGCTGGCGCAGTTTCAAATGTGTTTACCTTGGGAACTTGTTGCTGGACAAATGAATCTGCTTAGCCCAACGACCAGGTCTTAGACATATCTGAACCTCTGTCTAACCAGTACTTATGTAGTTCAAATTGGTGCTGGCCAAATATGATGAGATTATGATGATAGATTACAATCATATCATATGATTCATATTCAAAGCTCCTATTGATTAATAACATTGTAGTGTAGTATAATCAGAGGGAAAATTCAAAACTTTCTTTTCCCATTAAAAGGTGAATTTAATGTCCACATCTTAATAGTTCTTTCTATAAAGAAAAAATATTATATATCTGAATTGAGATAAATGTTTGTTTTTCAAACATATTTCCCTTGTATAAAAGGGACCTCTTTCAGAGAAACCTGAATTGTCTATTGAACATTTATCTTTTAGATATTTTATTTTTTTCCACAAAGAAGATATTTGTATTCATGTTTTCATGTCAATGAAAACAACATCTTTATATCTTTTGCAAAAAGAACATTATGTGTTTCCCCTTTCATACAAGAACAAAGAGCATCTTTCTGAAAAAGTTAGAAAGATGATGTTTCCTTGCCCCTTTCGTGTTTATTCAATCTGCTATCAAAGTGTCAGGGGAACCTCCCTTTCGGCCCCTCGGAGACGCCTCCGATTCCGGTCCGACTCCGGTTCCGTCTCCGGTCCGGCCCTCCATCTCGCCCGCACAATCACCGATCCGTCAACGCCCTCCCAACGGTCGCCCTGGGACCTTGCCTGCGACGCCGCCCAAGCCTTCTGTGCCCGACAGCGGCAGCTACGGACAAGCAGTATATAGTCAGCTCCCTAGCAGGCGGACCCTTAGAGTTTCTTCTCTTTGGATCCTCCCCTGCTAGGTCAGCTTCATTTGTATTTGCTTACCAATGTTCACTCTTTGGATCCTCCCCTGCTAGGACCTTGATCTCAGGCCTCCGGGGTTGCCCTTACACAAAGCTGTATATAAAGAAGACCTTTCTTAAACTTATTTAATGAAATGAGCAAAAATATATCCTTTATATTCCGTAGAAAGGAGGATTGAAAGCCAGATGGAAAGGTCAGCTTTCCAATGACTTTTCCATCCCTGTCAAAGAAATTCTTTTTGCTTTTACAGAACACTTGATAAAGAAGAGTCATTTATGAAAAAAATTAATATATGATATTTCTTATCTATAGAAATATATATATCTAAATGTGTACATTTAATACATGTTTAAAACGGAAAAGAAAGTTTTGAATTTCCCGTGTGAATAATCCTACTCAGCTGCAAAATATGAGTATGTGATGAATATATTTAAGCATAATACATATCCCTGGAAATAATTGACATAATTATTTACCAGGGGAAAAATAAAAGCATAAGCTACATGTTAGACTGTCAGCCTGAGGGTAACTTTCTTTCAGGGGATTTCTAACTCCAGCCTTGTAACCTAAAGGACCCTCAAAATACAATTAGGGGCATCACCACTAATAATAGGTTGGCTAGTAGACCCTTGATCAGAGGTTCCGAGTCTACACTGTGTTCACCAAGCAGCCGAGGTTGATCCAGGCAATGGGGCTCCCATGCTAAGCACTCCCCAGTGTTTAAAGCAAGTAATACTTGTGATGGACTACTGCATATATCATGCAATGCATCATCAAAACAATCATGCATCAATGGTATAATACCATTGATGCATCAATATAATGTAAAAAGTAATAAATGTTTTAAACTATTTATAAACATTATTGGTCATCAGACAACGTTCCGCAGTTGGTGTTTAGAATTCCAAGTTTGAGTGTATGTTTTGTCACTCTTTATAACAGTGTGCAAGTACCAATAATAAACTGCTGTAAATTACATAATATGCTTTTGAATTTGATATGAATATCCAAATAAACTCCCTGTTGATTGTATTGCTTCCAAATTAAGCAAGATAATATCCTGCCAAGAAGATGTAATAAACCAGTTAATATTTAATTTCCGTTTGCCCAAGTTCACAAATAAAATAGTCATTTAAATGTGGGTTACCATTGGTATGGATTTGAAATGAAAAAAGGTTGGAGGCGTCAGATGATTGATTATAAGCCTTCATAAGCACGAACTGGCCAAAGATTCCAGGGAAAGAGGTGCATCATTGGACTGTGAGTACTCAGCTGCTACTAGTGCACGTCACGGATCGCAACGTAATTATCCGCTGTAGTCATTTGAGTCAAGAAAAAGCGCCGAGTTTTGGAGAATACTAGTACCTGGAATGAGTCCTGCCCGCTTCCGGGCTAAGAAGTCATCCGCCACGTCCCAGAAGCTGCCGAACTCGAACGCGCCCTCGGCCCACGTCTCCTCTGTGTCCCCGAAGTTCCAGTCCCGGGCGCGCGTGATCACGAGGCGCGCGTCGGCGACACCGGGCGGGACGACGCGGGGGTTGAACACGACGAGCACGGCGAGGCGGCGGCAGACGTGCGGCGCGAGCAGGCGCGCGAGGTGCGCCCAGGGGGTGAGGTGCGGCGGCGCGAGGTGCGTGAGCGCGGGCAGGGTCGCGCAGAACAGCTCGAGGTGCGCCGACCAGTCGAGGTCGAAGAAGCTCAGGTGCGTGAGCTGCGCGAAGACGGGGAGCGCGGCCGCGGCGCCGAGCGTGCGCCCGGGGAAGAGGGCGTGCACGTAGCACACCAGCCGCCGGAGACGCAGCGGCCCGAGCGCGGCGTGCAGGGCGGCGAGCGGGGCGTCTGCGAACCCGGAGTAGCCGAGCGCGAGATGCGTGGTGCCCGGGAAGCACCGGAGGATGTCCGCCGCGGTGCCCGGCGCGGGCCCCGAGCGGGTTGCGGAGATGATGACGTGGCGCACATGCCGGGCGAGGAACTCGCCGGACTTGGCCGCGGACAGCTTCTCCAGGTCGGCAGAGTTCGCGCGCTCGTGGAACGTCAGCGTGCGGTACAGAATGGGCTCGATCCTGGCGGCAAATCTTGAGACCGAATGCCCCTTTGCGGATCCGCACGGACGCACCAGGCACAAACTCGGCGGGCAACCAGCAGCAGCGGATAGCACATCTTGGGCGACGATAGCGCCGTCGTCTCGAAGATCTCGCGCTCGATTTCGGGCGGGAGCCGAGGCTCTGAATCGCTCATGGTAAGCAGAAACAAGAGGAGTATTCTGACAGCGTGGGCGTCTGTCCCTGAGACAGCTTGTCAGATATGAACGTCTGATGCGGTGATCTCCCCCGATCCCCGGCACCGCACAAGTTACAACGCCGCGACGACTCTTCTCTTGGATCCAGAACTACCCGGTGACTAATTGCGGGCTTGTTGCATGTGCACTCCCAAAATATCTTCGTTGATCTGCATTCCATCAGGAGTGGCCCCCCAGTTGTCACTGCTGCAGGTAATCCGGCCAGCATTGTCTTTTTTGCACCCTTCTGGTCAGCCAGTCAGCACAAGCGACATTGCCCACAATTGCGGTGCTCCACCGCAAAATGGATCAACTCGCATCTGCCAAAAAGATTTATGTTTCATCTTGATACGCTTAGACCCCTGTGCATGTTTTGAACATGCATGCCTCAGACAACAAATGTAAGGGCAACCGACGAAAGCCTGGCAGAAAAGAACCCAAAGCATAAATAAGAGCTACGAGAAATCCATGGAGGGAGCAACCTAGCACGGAAGGATCTAAAGAGAAGAAACTCTAAGGGTCCGCCTGCTAGGGCGCCAACTATATACTGGTCGTCCGTAACTGCCAACGTAGAGCATAGAAGGCCTGAGCGGCGGCGCAGGCCCTGTCCTAAGGTGACCCTTGGGAGGGTCTTGACGGATCGGTGATTGTGCAGGCAAAGGAGACCGAGGACGAGGGTCAGGGTGGGTCTGAGGGTCTGAGGGCGCTGGCTGGATACGCCTTGGATGCGCTCAGATGGTCCGATGGAGGCCGAAGCAGGGGTTCCCGTATTTTGGGTCATAAAGTGGTCAAGAGTGGGCTCGAATGGCAATATGAAGAAGCAGACTGAATTAAAACTCACTTAGGTGGCCAATTGGAACCCAGAACATGCAATAGAACCCCCCCAAAGCCACACTTTTTACCCCATCAAAACGATATGATCCGATATGGACATCAATTATGCATATCATATCCGTATTTTGGATGATATATTCAAAATATATTTTCCGTATCATATCTTTGGACAACACTAAGTTGTATGCAATGACAGGTTGTCTTTGCCCAGGTTGAACCTGTCACAGCCAGACTCAAGTAGAGATGGCAAAGGTTGTTTTGGTTCAGGTTCAGGGTGTTTTTAGGTGAACACTGAACTCTGAACAGAACCTTGCATTCAGGTTCAGTGCAGTTTGGTTTGCGTTCAGAACATGTCTGAACCTTGAAGCTGCAGGCAACAAAAAACTGATTATTTCTACAAGTTTGATATATGTTTTTTATGTTAAAGTTGACGCTACATGCCCTCTGCATCCATTCCTGACAAAACAAGCACCCAAAACCTTGCTGGTGGCCCTACTGAGTCAGGCCCCGGCCCAATCCGGGCAGTCCCATGATTTGATGGACATTTAAGCTTACCATGGTTGTCGTCGTCGAGGACGACGTCGGGAGGTCAATGACAGCCGCGGAGAGCTAGCGGGACCGGCGGGAAGACGTCCCCCGACCCGATGACAGCGGGCGGTGATCGTCCGTGATGAGAATCACGCGATGGTCACCGTTGTGACCAGGTCACAACGGCGACGACGACGACGACGGCGGCGGGATGGCGAGGGCGCCGCGGAGGCAGCGGCGCCGGGGTGGCCGGTGCCTCTGGCACGATGAAGAAGGGCGGCGGTTGTCGGAGGTAGCGGGGGTGCCCGCGGCGGAGCTCAACCCCCTCTAGTTAGAGCCGGAGAGTACCCTAGTCTCCGCCTCTAATTAGAGGGGATATGGGTGAGCTATAGGTGGCGGTGACAGTGCAAATGTTCAGCCACATCCAAATTGGGTCCATATTTGATTGGCAACACTGGCCCAGTGTATCCGGCGTTCGGCATTCAAACATGTTCAAACTAAGTTTAGAGAAAAGAGCTCAATACTGAACAGTGAACCGAACTTCAGGTTCAGCCCCAGGCTGAGTTTTGAACCTGAGCTTGCATTCAGTTCAGTCTGGTTCAGATTCAAACCAGAATCCCGAACGGGACGCTGCCATCAGTAGAATCAAGTTGCCTGACCCATGAAAAAGTTGCATCTGAATTAAAGCCAAAGATGTCTTATGAGAAGTTGTAGTTGTCTTTGGCCAAATGAAATAGTGCTGGCCAAATATGATTATGTTATTTTATGGGCATAATATACTATAATCATATCATATTCAGAGCTTCAACAAAATAATATATTTGTAGTATAGTATAATCATATTCAGCTGCAAAATATGAATATGTTATGAATATATTCAGCTATAATCTAGTATGCATATCTTTTGATATATTTGATATATTTGCTGCTGGAAAGAAAAATAAAAACATAAGATACATACTGGAATTGTCAGGGCAACTTTCTTATGGGCCTCTCTAATTCCAGCCGCGGATACATAGGACTCTCAAAATATAATCAGGGGCATTGCCACCAGTATTAGGTTGGCCAGTAGACACTTAATCAGAGGTCCTACACTATGTTTATATGGTCAACCCAAAGTGATCACTCCTGACACTTGTTCCTACTAGGAGTAATGTATGAATCACGATATATAATAGATAATATTTGACATTTATCAGAAGTAGGGCTCACTCAGACTAAGATTAGTACTATGACTGAGTACATGGATGGAGAAAATAGCTATGATCATCCACCTTACTATAGTTGACTATTCTGTGGCTATAATATAGTATAGTCATAATATAATATCATACATTCAAATATAATCATATTCAAGTGATCCACAAAGGGCATAATCTATTCAATAGTTAATCAACCATAATATAATGCTGGCCAGCACTATAGTTGACTATTCTGTGGCTATAATATAGTATATAGTCATAATATAATATCATACATTCAAATATAATCATATTCAAGTGATCCACAAAGGGCATAATCTATTCAATAGTTAATCAACCATAATATAATGCTGGCCAGCACTAAAATGAAAAGTTGTTTTTTGAAAAATTATTTTGGAAGTTGTACATCCCTGACGTTGTCTCATGTTGGAACATTGTAATCAGACAAGTTGTACCATATTTTTGTTATATTTTAAAGATGTCTCTAATCTTTTTTTACAGTATGTCTCCCATAAGTATATCTTAAAGTGAGGGCTTATCTTTATAAGCCCTCACTACTGGCTAGTAGCCGGTGTACCGTGTTGCAGATAATTGATACGACTGTTACTTACTAACAACTTATCTGCAACACTGCAGAAGGTGCCAGGGAAAGAGGTGCAATCATCATTGTTGTCCAAAGTTCCAACTGTCCATATCACGAACCGCAATGTAATTATTGACTGTAGTCATTTGAGTCATTTGAGTCAGAAAGGGGGAGAATATTCGAGAAGACTAGTACCTGGAATGAGACCCGCCCGCTTCCGCGCAATAAAATCGTCCGCCACGTCCCAAAAGCTGCCAACTTCGAAAACGCCCTCGGCCCACGTCTCCTCGCTGTCCCCAAAGCTCCATGGCTTGGCTATCGTGATCACGAGGCGCACGTCTGCGAAGCCCTGCGGGACGTCGGTATGACTGAACACGACCAGCGCCTCGAGGCGGCGACAGGCCTGGGGACGCAGCAGGCGTTCAAATGTCCTCCAGGACGTCAGATGCGGCGGGGCGAGATGCGTGAGCGCGGGGAGGGTCGCGTAGAACAGCTCCTGCTGCTCCGTCCAGCCGATGTCGAAGAGGCTCAGATGGGTGAGCTGCGCGAACACCGGGAGCGCGGCGGCGGCCATGAGCGCGTCGCGCGTGGGGAACACAGCGTTCGCATAGCAGACCAGCCGGTGGAGACGCAGATCAGTGAAGGCAGCCTGCAGGGCATCCTGCTGGTCGTCCTCGAAGTGGCCGTTGCCGAGTGCCAGATGGGTTGCGCCGGGGAAGAGCCTGAGGGCCTCCGCCGCCGTGCCGGGCCCGGGCCATGTGGCGGAGACGATGACGTGGCGGACATTCCGGGCGAGATACTCGCGCGACTTGGCCACGGAAAGCTTGTCCAGGTCGGCAGAGGTCGACCGCTCGTGGAACATCAGCGTGCGGTACAACATGGGCTCGATCCTGTTGGCGAATGTTCAGACTCCTGCAACTAGAAAGGTACGAGGTCAAACGGCCGCACCAGGCACAAACTCGGCGAGCAACCCTCAGCAGCGGATAGCACATCCTGGGCGAAGATATCGCCGTTGTTTCAAAAATCTCGCGCTCGATTTCGGGCGGAAGCCGCGGCTCGCTCATGGTAGGCAGAGGTAAGAGTCACCCAGATACTAATCTGACAGCGTGGGCGTCATAGATCATTACATTTCGCATTTGTGCCAAAGTGAAGGACTTGTCTTTTATAAGTTATAACTACTCGGCCTACTCATATTGGAACTGCAGCTCCCGCTCCATCGACCGCAGCGCACCAGCGCGCTTCTCCTCCGGCCAGCCGGCATCGTCCATATTCCTTTTGACGTCATGCCCCGCGAACGGATACGGGGCGCTGGGGCCCTGTGCCGCCAGCACCGGATGGGACGCATACGACGGCGGCGGGCCGCTCTCAACCGCCGCCGCTTGACTGTACGCCAGCTCCGACGGGACGAAGTGGCTCTCCGTGTACGCCCGCGTGCGAAGTGATGCCGGCCCCGACGGCCCAGATGTGTAGGGCAGCGAGAGGATGCTTGCTTCTGCGCGCTCCCGCCGGCGCTGGCGCTGGCTCAAGCGCCACCACGTCAGCCCAGCGGCGATGAGCGCGAGGAGGACCATCGCGCCGAGGATTCCGCCCACGATGGCGGCTATCGGCGGTTTTTGGGAGCTGTGAATCGTGTCAACACTGACGGGGCGTGGAATGGGGCAACGCACCTGGAAGCGGAGCTTTGGGCCGCGGCGGTGAGGCTGAGGGCAAAGATCGGTGTGTGCAGGAACGGGGACGGGAGAGACGGGGACGTACGTAGGCGTGTTTTCCGGCGAGAAGGTGAAACTCGTCGACGACGTTGGGTACAGAAAGGGTCTAGAAGCATGTAAGAAAAGTGAAGGAACGGTCTGCGCATGGGCACGCACGATGTCGACGGAGAACCAGCGCCATTGAGGTGATACTGTGCATGGTTGAAGCCATGACACGATGAGGGACCCGTTATATTGAACTCCGGGGATGGGGGTAAATACACGTAGACGCAGCTCACGCCGGGCGGCGCGTCGTAGGTGCAGGTGAGGGTGTGCGTACCACCGGGGTCTCTAACGGCGGAGAAGTTAGATTGGAGCTTCTCGCCGTTCTTGTCCGTATCTGGACACTTTTCGTGCGCCAGCTGGTCGAGGGCCTCGCTGCCCCCGTCACCACTGTGTTGTTTACGTCGGACGAAGGGCATGAGGGGCAGAGTAGGAAGACGCACGCACAGCGTCCGCGCCACCCGCGTTCTTAATTTGGGGCGGGCAGTGCCGCTCCACCATCCATCCCCATCCCCATCTCCGAACTATCGCCCATCGCAGCGGCGTCGCGACCATCGTGATGCTGATATCATTCCCCGTCGAAGACAGCGGCCATGTTCGGGAGAGAGTTGTGGAGCGGACGCCACTGCCGCGGGAGCACGGGAAGCGAGCAGGGACCGAGTAAGGACCCGATGGTGGTGGTTGCTGGGAAAGGCAAGGGGAAAGGCGGAGTCATCGGGATCTGCGGTCACTGACGTGACGTGTCGACACGTGCCTCCATCATTCTGTCAACAACGCTCGTCATCACACCTCCATCACTGCACGAGCGTCGCGGTATCAAGATGGTCGCATCTTGTCACCCGTCGTCGAGATGATTCTGGATCTAGACGGCGCGGCGATTTGATAACGATAGCACAGGAATATGTAAGCACCCAAGGTGGTTATTGTCAAGCTTATCCAGGTCGAGAGCTGAGCAAAAAGATCACATCTGTCGATAAATGGTGTCAATACCCGAAGATTGAGTGGTCGAAGACTGCCTACCAATATTTAGATTGCGGCGGCATCTATGATAAACTGTGATCTGCCATAATTCAGCTAGAAAAATGCTGTATAGCCATGCCATGCAATCCACAGTACATACAAGTAGATAAAGGTACTATAAGTGCTAATCCACTACTTCACATCTCTGACTGCTTGCATCATCGGATGGGGGCTGGAGAGCACTTAAACACGATGCAAAGTCCTAGGCCACCGATCAAGCCCCTTCCTGCTTGTTGCTCATGATTTCTGCCCCTACAGTTGTGGGCAGCACAACTGCAGAGGGCCTTTTGACAACTGAGCTTGCCAAAGCAGCAGTAGGCCCCTATAATATTTATTAAACCACTCACATGCAGACCAGGCATCACTTTCACTCTATGGTGTGCTCCCTCAGCCTGTTTTCCTTTTCATTGCAAGAATTTATTCCAGGCATCTACCTGGTGTTATTCTCACTGGCTGTCATCTCTCTCCTTGGTCAGAGATCAGCACCAACACCCCCTAGGCAACAAATTCATCATCATCTCCACACTGGCCACATTCCCAATGGCCACTGCCCAAGTTGTCATTGCAGTCTTCTGTGTCTGGACAGTGCTGAGTCTTGCCTATGTCCCACCAGGGACTATTGTGCATATCAGCCACCACTCAAGATTAGCATACTTGACCACAGGACATCAAGTTGTATTGGCTATCAACAAGTGATCCTAGTATTCCAATGAGTGGCCAATCTGATCATTCCATGCAGCCTTCTCACAGATGGCATCCTTGTCTGTCTTACCATTCATTGATCTTTCAGAGGAACTGAGCTGTTTGCTGAACTAGATGTATAGATGCTTTCAACTCTGGAACAGTTCCTATTTAGTTCTTCTACTACCCTTCCTTCTGATGATAGGGACCTTGGGTATGTATTCAATAAACCAATTCTCCAAGTCCTCAATAAATACCTACACCGCCAACCGGAATCCAGCTGGTGCAGAGCTGGAAATTCCATGGTGGATATGTGTGATTGCCGGCTGGTTCCTGGATCGTCACCAGCTGGCTCCCATGTTTGGTCGCAAATGGGTCCAGCATGGACCCAGAGTGACTGGCACCTAGCTGGAAATCCAGCCGGACTCTCTATATGTCATTTCCTAGGTAGCACATAACCACACTCCAAGTTAATGACCAGAGCTTTTGTCTAAATTCATGCACTGGAAGGGCTGCATCGAGGATAGAGGTAAATCAGATAAATTCCTATCTATGCAGCTACGGTTCGCCATTGCCCTCATCTCCACCCTCACCCTCACCCTCACCCTCACCATCCATCGGGTCATCTTCGTCATCATCTGCGGTCGCCCCCACCGCGTTCATCACGGTGTCATCAATCGCCTCGTCAACCTCCTGTTGCACGCGATCTGCAGCGCCGTCAACAATGGTGTAGTTGTCGTTGCCGTATTTGGCACGGTCATCCGTGAGGACCTTGCGGAAGGCGCTATCAGTCTGTGAGTACTGGGCGGCAGGAAACAAAGTATTACTCACCGGGCGACTTGACGCTGATCACCTTTGGCATGGTCCCGAACCTCTGCGAGGAAAGTGTCGACTTCATCCCAGAATTTTGCTGTGTCCTTCTTATAGGTTTCCAGCCAGATGTAACGCTATAAACAAAAGAAAGTCCATTAATGAAGATATATGAAAAGTGTTGCAACATACCATGAGCGCAACGCGAGCACAGAGCTCAACGGTGACAACGCAATCTGAGCTGCCAACGATATTTTGAGTAAGAAGATAGATGTTGACGCAGTTCTTCGATGCGTTGACCTTTGGGTGCTTGTAGGTATACCCGAGCGACTTTGCTATCTGTTGGGTATTGAGAACGCAGCAGTAACCACGAGATGACAAACCGCTTTCTTGATGTCCGAGCGAAGTTGCGTGAAGATGTTCCGAACGGCACGCTTGAGGGTCGCATAGTCAGCGGCGTTGTTCTCGATGCCAGGCGGGAGGTCGAAGCGGTGGGTTTTGAGCAGGTTCTGTATCATCAGCAACGCTTGATTTTCGGACATAGTGAAGACCACTCACCAGCAGAACGTTGACGGGCGTATTACCCTTGTAGGAGGCCTGACGAGGCGACAGCATGATGGCAATGGCATACTTCTTGAGATTTTTCTGGCTAATGGTCAGCCAAGTCAACGTTGAATGCGGGAAATAACACCATTAAAGCATCTGAGGGCTCAAATGAGGGCTGTGCGAGCACGACGGCAGAGATCATATTGAGGATGGCGTAGAGCAAGACGAATATCTTGGCAGTGACGAGGGATGCAGGATCCTATATGCTGGTCAGCAAAACAGTCAAAAAAGAATGGAAGCGTGCCCGCAAAACGCCAACAGACTCGGTGATCTGGTCAGGCCGAAGGTGGTGAGTGGCTGCAAAGCGTTGAACGGCCTCCGTGGAATTGCGAGAAAGAAAGAGAGTCGAGGGAGGCGGAAGGGCGTCAGCCTCGCTTGAGCCGTGGCTTGGAGACGATGACGAGCCCTGGGCAGGGCTTGAGGAGGAGGAGGAGAATACGGGTGGGCGTGTGGGGGTGACTTGAGTCATTGCACCGAAGATATTGGCACGACGATTGGCGATGGGGGTGGACGGATGGGACATGGTGGGGGAAGGGGGGAAAAAGCAGCGCTTGCGATGGTATTTGAAGGGAGCCACTCGCCGATCCGTCAAACGTGCAAAACTGCGATCGTCGCCCGCAGAGTTTCGGCGCAGGCACGTTGCCAAGCACATCTTGCCTCATGCCGCCAAAAGGAACTGCGAAGAAACTGGATGAAAAAAGTGGGTTAGCAAAACAGAAAGCGGCGAATACAAGGGCTAACACATACCACACCAGATTGGGTGTCCAGGCCCTCCGACAATCATGTCCTCTGCAGGATATGCTTCGGTGCTGTCCCTCCGGAGCGGCAAGAGTGGATTGCCCGACGGAGCGCCGAGAGGCATCTAGCGTCGGGCGAGCATGAGAGGGCGGTGAAGGCAGCGGAAGAGGGCAGTGTGCGGCGGCAGGCTCGGGACACAGCTGCTGCCCAGGTCGAGCAGCGCAAGGTCACCGCAAGCGGGGCCCGTCGGCCAAGTCCTCCTTTTCCCATGCCTGCCAACCGGGCGCCGAATGTCCCAGGCATCGCTGAGGTCGAAATGTGGGCGGGGTATGAGGAGTTCGGGGGCGCATTCAGCGCTGGGGAGGATTTGGATGGTCGGAGCATCAATGTCGCCCGGCTAGATCGACAAGCCGAGGTGTTGGGCATCCTGGACCCAGAGGGCGTGGCGCAGCGTCTTGGGTACGGGGACGGCTCGCTGGAGGACGAGCTGCAAGAGAAGGACGCGGAGGATGACTTCCTCGCGGAGCTTCTGCGTAACGCAGGTCAGTGTGCGGGTCAAGAGTGGCGTGGGGAATCTCACGCATTTTCGCAGGGATATCGGACCCGACAGCGGAGGATGTTCAAGCCGCAGGCAGCGAGAAACCTGCCCCGACAACCGAATACTTCCCATATCCGAATAAAATGGTGTGTTGCTGGACCTCCCCCGCCATTTCACTGCACGCGAGCATACTTTTAGATGTTTCTCCTCGACATACTTGATAATTTGCCTCGTCTCCGCGTCTCCAACTCTCTCATGCGGGTATTTCTCTGGTTGCTGCGCCAATCCGGGGCGCCGAATGTCCCATCCTTCGACGGCTTTCGACAGATGCAGAAGAGGATTCGGGCAGAGGCCGGAATTCCTAGCGTTCCATGTCTCTCTCCTCTTGGGAACGTGTTCTTCATGAATAGCCCACGCGCAATTATTCAACAAGTGAGTCGTTCACATGTGTCTGCAAAAAGCCATTTCGTCTCACAGAGCAACAAAGGACTGGGCCAATCCAAATATTCGTAAATTCATCCAGCTTTATCCTGAGCTTCCTGTCGATGGAGTTGTCCGTGAAATTTGGCATGCCGAGAAGTGGCGCAAGGACATGGACCTCGACATGCTCAGTCCGATGTACGACGCCGGGCACGCACATTTTTACGTGAATGAGCTGGCACGTCTGGAGGATGGGAGGCTGGTGGTACCAATTCGCTGGATTATTGCCGAAGGGGGAGCTCCACGCTGATTGCTTCAGCTTAAACCTTGATGTTGTGCGTTTTTCTCCCTGTGTGCTCGGGAGTTGGTGAAGTCATACATATCATATAGGCGGGTGAGGCGACAGTTAATGATTCGAAGACCGCTCTTGTCCGTGCGGCTGATTTCCGGCTCAACTATTTCGATCTTCGGGAGCGCGGTGAAGTTCCAAGATGGAGTGGTGTGTGTTCCAATCTCTTGGATCTTACACAGCTCAATGGTGCAGATTCCACAATCAGTGCTGGACATCCTGCGCGCATGCCAAATCCAATCCGTGATATCGCAGATGGACAGCCAATCTACTCAACGTTCGTTGACTTCTTTGGCGATGATGTGTCGGGAAATCGGAGGAAGTCGTGGAACAAGCACTGGAATTCGTACATGACCCACCGAAATCTTCCACGCAAACTGCTCATGCAAGAGTTTCATCTCCATTTTATCTCAACCTCGCCGCACGCCTCAATATCCGAGCAGTACCGCGTGTTCAAGACATCCGTAGAGTAATAATATAACTGACTCCCAATATTTGCCTTCTAATTTTTTTTCAGATCGACACACACAGATCCGATTAGTGTGCAGGATGCAGTCGGAAAATCAACAAAAATTCGCGTTTTTTGTGAATGCGGGCCCCTCAGATAATCCAATGCAAAGCGAGGTCTCTGGCCATATTGGCTCAAAAGGCAATCGTTTCTGCCGCAAATGCCAGGTCGGGGGGACTACTGCACACAAGGTGTCCGACTGCGGTTTCCATGAACTGTTTGAGGTGCGCTTGGAGTACAATATTTGTTATAGACTCCGTGATTCTTGAGCATAGCCCGGCATCCCTCGTACCAAGGATTATGTGTTATCGGAGTTGCGCGCGCAGGTGGGTATGGCCTGCAGCGGGATATCACGCATGAAATTAGCGGAGGAGCAGCGTCTCACCGGTGTCAAGGATGCCTATACACAGCATTGGATTACCGGCCTTATTGATCGTCATGCACAGCTACGCGCGGCAGATGTTGAGCGTTCCGTTGCAGCTATCAAGGCCGAGTTGACCCAGTGGACAACGGAGAATGACGAAAAAATTTACAGTGCATTCTTAACAACAAAGGGTGATTTCTGGCATCAGCAATGCAATGTGCTAAGTTGATTTACGCAGGCTTTGATCCAACTTACCGCGATACACCAGTGGAGCTGCTGCATACGATCTTGCTCGGAGCAGTCAAGTATGTATGGCATGTGTCACACACGTCCTGGTCGCAGGAAGCAAAGGAGACATACTCTCTTCGATTACAGGCTGCACAAACGGACGGTCTATCAATCCACGCAATCCGTGCTGGCTATATCATGCAGTATGCCAACTCCCTGATCGGCAAGCAGTTGAAGACAATTGTACAAACTGGTGTGTTCCACGTATATGACCTGGTACCAGGAGACCATCTCGCAGCGTGGCGAGCCCTTGGCGAGCTCTCAGCTTTACTCTGGGTTCCCGAAATTCAAAACCCCAATGAATATCAGGTTTGTCTCTTAAAATTTTCGGACTCCAGCTGAATTATATTCTCAAGAATGATCTCAAGCAGGCTGTTGCAAATCTTCTGGATGCTATTGCCATCATTGACCCATCAAAAATCGTCACCAAGATCAAATATCACCTTCTTTCCCATGTTGCCGCTGACGCTGCAGCCTTTGGACCTCTCATTGGCCTTGCAACTGAACTCTTCGAGAGTTTCAATGCCGTATTCCGCTACTGCTCTATTTTTTCTAACCATCTTGCTCCGAGTCGTGATATTGCATTGCAACTCGGAGATCAGGAAGGTCTTAAACATCGACTAACCGGTGGACTATGGCTTAGTGCTTCCACAAAACAGTGGGAGACTGCAGGTCCTGGTGTACGTCATTTCATGGAAAGGCATGCAGTTCTACAGAAACTGCTTGGATGGAGTTCACAGGCATCAGCCACACCCGGTTTATACTTTTATTGTGCACTGCCGTCATATCTCATTATCCTCAGGGCATATTAAATTAATGCCGCTGAAGCGTGGATCAACCACACGGACCTTCAATCCACTCGCTGCAACAACTGCTGTGAACGCTGTCAATTATGGTGATTTTGGAGCAGAATCTCTCTGGGCTCACGGTAAATCTGTGATTGCCCAATCGGGCGATGAGTGTTTTCAAAAATCTTGGATTTTCACCAGACTTTTGTCTGATCAGGCTTGTATCATATTTTCGATTTTATCTGATCTAATTAAGCTTAATTTAGGAGATTATCTTCCCTGCACGGATCCTGGAGATTCTCTCTGGTGCCAGCCCAGGAGACAATATCATTGTTGTTGAACGCTTTCAGTGCTCTTCCACCCGTGATACGATCTACGGAATGCCCATCCTTACCCGTCCAAATGGCGAACATGTTCTAACTATTATTCGGGCCACAGTAAGCAGTTTTTAATCCTTTCATTGACATTAACTCAAAATTGATCATGGTAAAGGATATCAAATACAACTTCAATGCTCAGCATGACTGCCATGCTGCAGGATGTGCACCGACCGGGGTCCGTCCCATAATGCAGGAGCGAGTTGAGTCCGAAAAAACAGAGCGGTTCATTATTCATGCTGATATGGATCGTTTCATCGTCAACACTCATGCATTCCACAATGCACATCTTATTCGAGCAACACTCTCTCGTGCGCTCTGGGAACCAACCCCACTCCTTGAAGATCGTCAAGCAAAACACACTGAGCTTGCCTCTCAACTACGTGCAAAGAAGTCAAAAGGTGCTACAGCTGCTAGCACCGGGGGGACTGATGTTCCTGACAACACCCAACACAATTCGAAACCAGGGCTAGGCCGTGGCCGTGGTCAAGGCCGTGGTCGGGGCCGCTCAAGAACAGGAACGGGAATGGCGGCGAGAAGTGCAAATGGTGCATCCAGTAGCAAGCGGCGGCGCTCAATATCCTCTCATGAAGATGCACCACCTCATAAACGCGGCAGACCAAGGAAGAGCCAGCCCCGAATTGTTCTCCCCGCGGTTTCTATTGCCATCACAGGCAACACAAGTCTAGCTGCTGGCAGAACAAGGAGGGAGATCACACGGACGGCACGTGCTGTTGCCTCTGAAGCGCAGGAGGCGGAATTTGGATCAGATGAAGATGAGCTGGACTCAGATAACTCAGGTACCACAGACTCAGACTCGGAGCAGGATTTGAGTCCAGGTGAGGAGTTGGAGGATGAGTAGGACTATAGCTAAAGTATACAACTTTGGTACACACTCTCTCAATGATGTATTATCTGGGTTCAGAGACAACAGAGCCAGCCAGAAAAAATCCTGAGACTTAGAAGATTGCCCACCCGGCTCCCATCTGGGAGGTATTACCTGATGGAGTGGCTGGCTGCCAGCTGGAGTCCAGGTGGATCCAGATGTCATCATTGCTGGCATTTGGCTGGGCCACTCGGCTGAATTAGGGCTGGCAGCACTTTGGCGGTGTATAGCTACTGGGTTCATGCTCTCAGTAATTGGATTAACAGCTTCCAATGCCAGGCTGGAGCTGCTGCCTGTAGTGCTAGGATTTGCCACCAACTTCTCTGTAACAATGTTGAGTGGTCTGTGTTCATCCTCATCCTATGTGATTGACCCACATAAGATATAGGGGGAAAGATATGGTGGATGACATACAAGCTATCAATATTCAACCAAACTCCATTACAACATGAACAGAGCTCTCAAATGCTTATGCGCACTAAATTGGCTTTGAGGATTTTGTAGGTCTTGTCTTCACTGATCTTACATAAGTCAACTATTTTCAAACATTTAGGATAGAGTCTGGCGCAATATACACCCTGAGCACAGTTGCTGTGATTATCTCTACTGCATTGTGCAACAACACAACTGGAGACTGGACAGTTAGCCATGCACTTACAATGGGCATTGTTCAGCAATGTGTGGTGAGCATTCAAGTTATGTGTTTACTATCAGTTTTGATTTAATGTGCACATGGGACCATATTGCATAGAATATTGCCCCAATGCTTGTTGTGTAAAATGAATTTGATTGGTCTTCGCTTCTCTGTTAGAGATGGCGAGGTTCGGTTCGGTGCAGGTTCAGGCCATTTTTTGGCGAACCCCGAAACTGAACTTCGGTTCAGGTTCAGCTTTGGGCTGAACTCTGAACTGAACTTGGGGTTCAGGTTCAACGCGGTTCGGTTCAAGTTCAGAACGTGTTCGAATCCCGAACTTGAAGTGCACAAATCTATATATATTTGGTACCTGCAGAACATTGGCAGACAACAACAACGACTACGAGGTATGTAGCAACAACAACAAAGCTGGCGGAGAAAGCGCAAGGAGCGGGATACTAGCACCAGCGGGGGACATCGGCCAGGCCAGTGTTGATCCCGGGCCTAAGCCGGAGCATGGAGCCCTCTACATCCATCGGCGCCGGTGCTGCACCAGCGTGAGCCCAAGCCCCAGCCTACTGCTGCTCGCCTCCCCCATCCGCGGGCCCTCTGTCCTCTCCCTCTTTCCTGCTGGTGCCGCGGTAAGCGGGACAACCCTCGGTGTGCTCTGCGTGCGTGTCTACCGTGCGCTCCCAGGCCGCGCAGCGCACTCGTAGGGTCACGGTCCCAATAGTGTAGGCGGTGATGGTGGGAGTCAAGAGAAAGGCAGGTAGCTTGTGTCACCCCATCTAAATCAGGAATCTCGGCCATCTAGTCTTATTGATCGGGCGGTCCGGTGCCTCCAGCGTTCGGCGTTCGAACACGTTCGGACCAGGTTCAAGCAAAACCACCACCGGCCGAACCGAACTTCAGGTTCAGGTTCAGCCTTGCGCTGAACTTTGAGCCTGAACGCGCGTTCGGTTCAGTCCGGTTCAGGTTCGAACCGGAAGGCTGAACCGGACGCTGCCATCGCTACTCTCTGTGATCTATAACTGAAGTAGTAAGCTATTAGCATTTGGGGCTATAGTAATCGTTGACTGGATTGTGAGGGCAATCCCAGAGGCCTGAAACCAAGATCCTGGCAGGAAAGGATTCAAAAAAGTAAATAAGAGTAGACAAATCTAAATGAGGCTTAGCTGGCTGGGTAGAAGAGAAGAAACTCTGACGGTCCACCTGCTATGCAATCAAATATATACTGTGATCTTAGTCACCAAGAATGATTGTTACTCCATACAATATGCTCACTCTATGTCAAACCCTGGGTTCAAAAACCCTTTTTCTTCGCCCTTTAAACCTTTTATTTTGGCCCTGGTTGATAAGATAAGACAAGGAGGAGATAAGATGGACGATAAGATGGTGATTGGATCATCAGATGTCGATGCTGATGTTGATTGACAGCGTGGAGTTGGACATGAGGCAGACAGCACGTAAAGGCATGGCTAAAGTATGATGTCATTGCCTCTCGTATTAGGCATGGTAAACACATGGTAGTAGTGTATATAAGTAGAGTAGATTTCGTCTTGTACCCCAGTCTTCGAATTGCATCATCTTTACGATATCTTTTCACGGTGCTTCTTGCTTGCCTTCACTGGCCAACTGGCATCCTCTGAATTGGTGTTGTTTGTGACATAATTCGAAGACTACCCTCCTACCCTCGTACCTTCCTACCTTCTACCACCTACCCAAACCCCTCCCCTACCCCGTTACTATCGCCAAATTTCCCACGCCTTTTTCCCACACCCTCTCCCTTCTGCTCTAGGTCGTTACTCTAGGTCTTTTGCTCTAGGTTTTTCTTCTTGGCTAGGTACACTCAGAGACGACAATCCAAGGGACCCACTCGAGAGGACACGCGCTTTGTACTTGCAAGAGAGACGTCTGGCCCAACCCAGGTGCTTTCGTAGAGTCATAGCTGCTACAAGGAGCGCAGGGGCAATCTTCGGAGAACCCTAGTTCGTCCAGCGCGGGGTGTGTCGTAGAAGGCCCCGGTGGATTCCTCTCACGCAACAGGTCTCTTGGACCCCCGACAACGGACTCTCCGGTCCATCCTCTGTGGCGCTCTCCGCGCGCTTTGATCCCTGACCTCTCGTCAGGGGCTCCTTCTGAGGAGTCTTCAAGAAATTCTACACCCCGCTCTCTCTCCCCTATCCCCTCTCCATTCAACCACTTTTACCTCGACTCTCTTCCTCCTTCCCCAATCTCCGCTCTGGCTACTCTTGCCATTGCTCCTACCCCCGCAACTGTACCCCAACCCACACCTGCACCCGCACCCCAACCACCAACCAACATGTCTCGCGTCGTACTTGCGAACCCCCCTCCTCTCTTCTCTGGCGAGAAATCGCTTTGGGAAAATTTCTACGATTCCGTCACAACTTATATTGCGGCTTACGCTGATGCGCTCGATACGGATCATAAACGAATTTGGTTCTTGATCTCGTACCTTCGATCTGCAGATGCTTCCGCATGTACGGCAGCTGACTGGGAAAGCGAACCCTTAAGAATGGTGTGCTTGCGGCCACCTATACATTCGACGATCTCATCACGGAGCTGGAACTCTCATTCAAGGACACGAACATCGCACAGGCAGCGCATCTGAAGTTGACGACTACTCGTCAAAATAAGATGTCGCTGACCGATTTCTTCCAGTCATTCGAATTGCTGGCAGAACAGGCTGGCTATAGTCCCAATGCCAAGCCTTGTGCATATGATGCGTTCCTAATCCAGCTGCTTGAGGAATTAGTCAATACGGAGATCACTGGTCCTATCTACGTGGGAGGCACTGCCCCGCCCAAGACCTATTTGGAATGGAAAGAGCATCTGATGCAGATCGACGCCAACTTGTCTCGGAACAAGCTACGTTTGGGCCGCCGCGGACAGACGTTTGGATTTATTCCCCAGTTCCAACGTACTCCGCCCGCCGCCCCACGTGCCCCAGTACCACAAGCAGCCGCGCCTGCTAAAGATCCCGATGCCATAGATGTCGACCGCGCTCGACAGAAGTGGAAACCCTTGCGCTGCTTCAACTGTGGCAAAATTGGTCACATTAGTCGCAACTGCCCGGACCCCCCTCAGAAGAAACTCAGCATTAGGGCCTTGATGGCTCAAGTTGATGAGGGTGACAAGTTTGACGGCACGTTGGCGCAGTTGATCCAGAAGTTGCGCGAGGCGGGTTTTTAAAGCGCTCCTCTCCCCTGGCCAAGGAGACGGAGCGATCCGAAATTGTTGATTCGAAATATGGACGTTATTCTCCTCTCAGTAAATTAAATGCGACTCCCGATATGCCTGCAACGGACTCTTTTTATGGTACCGACTCGGACTCGTTATGAAAGGACATACATGAATTCCTTTACAACTCTCGTCGTATCCATGTTTTGCAAAATCAGAATCGTCTTCATAACTTAAAGGAACAAAAGCGTGCTGAGAAAGATGAGTGGTGGACTGAGTTCCAAAAGGCCTGCGGAGAAAAAACCGCATCAACAAAGACTGAGAGAGGAAGTGAGGAGGCGGAGGCTGACACTGGGGGCACGAGCTACGGCGTGCCGGAACACGCGGACCGACCGCGTTCCCGGCCGCGTGGCTGACTCGTACCTACCGCGTATTTATGGATTGACATTGATATGACAAGCTTATGATGTCATGCATTGTGGCCGGGGGGCCTTCGGCGGCACCCGTCGGGAAAAGCATATTGATTCCCCGCTGCCAACTCTCCGCTGCCGTCCCTGGCTCACAACTGTTACCAACGGGTGACGGCTCAGGCCAGCGGCACCGCCCGGTGCGGTATGGCTTCCCCTTGCGCATTGCATCACTGGCACCGCATTGCATTATGACATATGGTGCATAGATTGATGTCAAATACCCCTTGTCTTTACTCCACCACCGTCTGCGCTGTTTCTTCTGGACCACGCCGGTGCCAGCATTATCCTCATCCCAGCCACGGCATATCTCGACTCTGTACGGGAAAGACTCCAATTCTGGCTGTGCGAAGCAATTGTGCCGCATGTTCGCGAGTGTATCGTCAGGCCGTGGTTTGAGTACGACGTTGCCCCGGCAGAGTGGACCCCACAGGCGTCAGAACTGTATCACCCACTCTCTTCGTTCTTCGAACACTGTCACATTCGATGCTTTTCCTCCCTGGAAAGCTTTCGCTGCGGACTTTACGGAGTCGACAACCGTCACTTCGCTCAGCTTAAAGTCGACCTTCGAGGACACGCCCAACGTGCTGCAGAGTATTCTGCAATCCTTCCCGGAGTTCATTTGCCTGCGAATAGACATCAAGTACAACGTCTCGGAGGAAGAGATGGAAAAG